GAAAGCGGAGACCACTTCTGCAGTGGTATCATCAAAAGAATAAAAATCTTTGGTGCGAGTTCCACGAGTCACCAGGACACAACACCGAAGAATGTATTCAGCTGAAGGACCAGATCGAGTATATGGTCTGGAAGGGATACTTGAAAAAATATATCGCGGATCACCGCGAGAAAAAAGAAGCTGAGAAGTTTCAGAAAGACTCTCGGCAGAAAATAGACTTCCCTCGGAAGAACAACAACAAAGCTTCGGAGGAAAAATTTCCTCCGATACATGTTATTTCCAAAGGGACATGTTCTCGGAGGGAGCACAAGCATCACCTTAGGGCTCTGACCCATCAGGTGAACAATGCTGACGTTCAGCCTCCTTAGTCACCGGCGCCGAACATGACGTTCTCATCCGCTGGCTGCCCGGGGGTGACGTTCCCTCATGAGGATCCCCTGGTGATTGTTGCTACAATTGCCAACCACGATGTCTCCAGGACTCTCGTGGATGGAGGCAGCGGAGCAAACATTTTTTTCCGAAAGTCCTACGACCAAATTAAGCTGAAGCCCAAGCACCTTACGCCAGTACCCTACCCGGTATCTAGATTCAATGGGGCTTTAACTTTTCCTGACGGGAAGGTCCTTCTTCCTGTCACCATCGGCCGCGCTAAAGCAGCCAAGAACGTCATGGCCGAATTCTTGGTCATTGACGCTCCTTCAGTTTACAACGTGATCATGGGGAGACCTATGATTCACGAAATTCAAGGGGTAGTCTCAATATACCATCAGATGATGATATACGTTTCAGACGCCGGCTATCCCGAAAGAATTGAGGGCAGCTAAAAGGAGGCCCGTAGGTGCAATTACCTCAAGCCATCCAATAGTCGTTTGGAAGACAACGACGACGAGGATGAGGAGAAAAAAGAAAAAGAAAGAGAGCCAAGTGCGAAGAAGCCGAAAGGCCTAAGTGCTTCGGCCCAAGGTTCTCTGGCCAAAGAAAAGCGGTGAGAGAAAGAAAAAGCTGGTTCTTCATCCAAGCCGAACGACTTAGAGAGCCAGCCGAAGAAAAATTATGGGACGCTTGCTGATATTGACAGCAGGCCAGATAATGAAGAATCTGGCCCAAAGCCATGGAGCTGGATCAGCAGACTGAAACAGTCAAGTTGACCGAAGGAGACGCTGAAAAATGTGTCACAATCGGGCTGAACCTTGATCCAAATGTTCGCGTTGAACTCATCCAACTCCTTCGGGACAACCGAGATGTGTTCGCTTTCTTAGCAGCTGACATGTTTGGGATTGATCCAAACCTCATCTCTCATAAGCTTAATGTCGACCTCACGTGTTGGCCAATTAAGAAAAAGAAGCGGAACTATTCCACAAATAAGAACCGAGACATCGCAGCCGAGTTAAAAAAGTTGCTGGATGCAGGCTTCATCGAACCCTACCAGTATCCAGAATGGATGGCAAATGTGGTGATGGTTCAGAAGGCAAATGGCACTCGGAGAATGTGCGTTGACTTCACGTACCTAAATAGGGCTTGTCCGTAGGACTTTTATCCCTTGCCGAGGATCGATCAGCTAGTCGACTCGACAAGTGGGCACGCTCTATTTAGTTTCATGAACCGATCTGTATATGTGGAGGTGCGCCGAGAAAGAAGTGTAGATGAAGCACCAGAAGTGTGAAACGTTGATCACGAACCAAGCTGGATGGACCCCATCCTAGCTTTCAAGCTTTGGGGAGAAATTACTGAAGATAAAATCTTAGCCTCCAAGCTGAAGCGAACCGGTTCAAGGTTCATTGTCTTTAAAGGAGAGCTTCTAAAGAAATCCTTCTCAGCCCCATTGCTGAAATGCGTGGGTCCAACAGATGCTAATTATATCCTTCGAGACATTCATCTCGGCATTTGCGGGAACCATATCAGGGGAAGGACTTTGGCCCACAAGGCATTGAGGGCAGGGTTGATCTCAGATGCTAAGGAACTGGTCAGAAAATGCGGAAAATGTCAAAAATTTGCACCAGTCATCCATCTGCCAGCCCGAGACCTTCAACCGGTCTTAAATCCGCTTCCATTTGCCTAATGGGGGCTGGATATCCTGGGTCCCTTTTTGGATGCTCCAAACCAGAAAAAATGGCTGATAGTTGGCATAGACTATTTCAGCAAATGGATTGAGGCCGAAGCAGACTCGAACATTACAGAGAAAACTGTCAGAAATTTCATCTGGCAGAACATTATTACTCGATTCGGCATCCCAAAAGTGTTTGTCTTTGATCATGGAAGGCAATTTGATAATCTGCCGTTAAAGCAGTACACTGATCAGTTCGACATCAAGTTGGCATATTCAGCAGTGTGCCATCCGCAAAGTGACGGACAAGCCGAAGCTGCAAACAAACAGATTCTTAACGCTATTAAGAAGAGGTTTAAGGATCAAAAGTCCAAATGACTAGAGGAACTTCTCGGAACTCTCTGGTCACTTCGGACAACTGAAAAAGAGGCAATGGGCCACTCACCTTTTGAGTTGGTGTACGGTGCCAAAGCCGTTCTCCCGGTGGAAATCGATTCTGAAAGTCTGCGAGTGCACCACTTCTCGGCTGAGAATGAGCAACTTATGAAGGAATATCTTGATTTCCTTGACATAGTAAGAGACTCAGCACGAGACATAATGGCTGCATACAAGCAAAGAATCATCAAATTTTATAATCGAAGGTTTCATGCAAGGCCACTCAGAATTGGGGACCTTGTCCTTTGGAATGCTGCAGCAGTTCAGAAAAGCCGAATGCATGGGAAACTCTCAGCTACTTGGGAGGGACCCTACGAGATTTATGATGAACTTCAGTCAAGGACATACCGACTTCGGCAGTAGGATGGAACTGAACTGAAAAATCATTGGAATGCTGATGTACTTAAGAAATTTCATGTGTAAACCCTTCGGGGCAGAATAATCTTTGTAAGTACGTTTTTCAGTTATTAATGAAAGGCCTCAGAGCCACCATTTCTATAAATAGTTGCAATTTTCATTCTTTCATTTTTCTTTATTCTATCTACTCTATAAGGGTTTCCTTCAACCCTGTCCGAAACCTTCGCCTTTAAGGTATCGGGTTTTAGATTTCTGATAAACTCGCCTATAATAGAACATTGGTCTTTTAACTGAATCAAATGTTTCAGTAAGACTTATTCTCCGTGGCAGTGAGTCCATGGACGAATCTGGGATATTGCCTTAACCAAGCCCTGTATCCCAGAAGGTTATTGTTTGAGACATTGCCTTAAGTTGGCCCTGTGTCTCAGATATCCATTCTTTCAGATAGGCATAAAACCAAGAATAATCGCACAACTATTAGAAATTTATCAAATGCTAAAAGCTTCGTCCAAAGTTAAAAAGACAAGCAGTCATCTCAAAAATCCGAAGGTAAATCCTTCAGATTTCTGGGGGGCAATAAGCATGAGCACAAATCATTATCAGCTAGAGTCTTCCAATGATGAAAATCTTTTTACTTAGCAAATTGTTGCAAATTTTCAAAAAACTTAGAAAAAGCAAACACGCAAGTTTAAAGCACAATAGCAATGAGAAGAAAAGCAGCAGATCATAACAGGAATAAAAAACCCAAAATCTGAGATACAAAGTTAGATGTTCAGAACATAGAAATAGATATTGGAAGCCGCCCACAAGCGGAAAATTATAGCTGCCGAAATGCGTACATGACAAAAATTAAAGTTATGTACAATAAGGCAAGTTGAAGCAAAAACAGACAAGGCAAAAAACTTTCAGAAGCGGAAAGTTAGCAATTCAAGCGCAAGTTGATCCGCAAGATTCCGAAGACAACTGCCCGAGTCCCTAGGCCTCAGCTGAAGGGTCAGGCTGATCAGCTACATCAGTATCTGGGGCAGCATTAGCTCCAGCCAGTGAAGAAGCAAGCCTAGCTTAGGTCTGAACTTCTCTCTCTGTTCTCAGCCTCCTTTACTTCAATGGCTTCTTCTAGCTCTTTATAATTTAGATGAGCCTCAAGGTCCAGCTCAGCTTGGCTGACAAAGCGCATATGCGGGTCGTTGGAATCTTCATCCCAGATCTCACACTGATACCAGTCCAGGTCCGACGCAGCATGGAGAGCCAGTCTTCGGGACACCTTGTACCCATTGGTGTACGCTTTCGCATACTCTTCCTTAGTGTAAACCTTGACAACCAACTGGGTCTTGGCGTCTTTCAGCTTCTTTTCAACCTCCTCTAAGTTCTTCTTAGATTGCTTAAGTTCGGCAGCAATCTTGGAGGAGGATTCCCCTTGCACTTTCAGCTGCTCCTGAGCGTCATTTAATTGCAGATGAACCCTAGAGGCTTCTTTATTTTGAGTCTGCAGCTGACTCCGGACCAACCCAATAGTGGTCTGGGCTTGGTGCAGCTCTTCTTCCCTAGCGTTCAGCTGGCCGGTCACCTCTTGCAGCCTCTGATGTTAAGCCTCGGCAGTAAGCTAAGCCTCAGAAATTTGGGCATCCCGAGCCTGTAGGGCTAGCTCAGCTTCTTTTGCCTTGGCCTCTAGAGCATTTACCCTCTTCTGAAGCTTCTGAGTTCGGCTAGCAACTCTAGCCTGGCCTTATCTTCTATTCGGCGCTCAATTTTGGCTCGGAAGGCGGGGATGTCAGCTGCCCCATACTCATTTATCAGCTTCTCCCCTTCAAGCATGGTGAGGAAGACTTCCTTCTCCATGGGTTTGAAGATGGTTCTGAGAGTTTCGGCTGCCTGTTTCTCGTACTTCTAGGCCTCTGCCGCCCTATCTTCAGTAGCCTTAGCCTTCAGCACGACTAGTTTCACCTCAGCTCGGGCAATCTCCAGTTTCGTCTGGAGCGAGTCTATGAGCTCTACAGTAAGAGTCTGATTGTGCAAAACTTGTTGACCCAGGGCATAAGTAAAATAAATAAAAATAATAAAAAAAAAACTGAACTGAAATTGGAACTGAGAAGCTGAAGTTGTAAAAATTAAGAATTACCTGCATCAGTAGTCGCTGGTTGTCTATAGCAGGGTCAGGTACCTTTCAGTTGGGCTCGCCCATCCGAGCAGTGGCCTTAAGTGACCACTCTCGTGCCTGATCCACCTCGGACAGACCTGAGAAGTCACCAAAGAAGGCCGCAACCTCCTCCCGATGCCTTCCCCAGATAGTTTCTCTGACGCTGGAGGGGATGGGGATAAAGGGGGCATGGAACCCCATTTCTTCAAACCTGAAGGTTTGGAAGGAGGGCAGTGAGGGGGAAGGTACCTCAACAGTCTGATCCTTTGCCTCTTCATTGGAGCCCAGCTGGTCTCCTTCTAGGTTAACTACCTCAACCTCCTCTTCAACTTCGTGCCGGTTCAGGAGAGCGTCAGTTTCTCGCTGAATTTCAGCGGCAAACCCTTCAGTTGTTGCAGCTTCATCTGCCTCCTCAACCGCAACAGGTTCATCAGCCACTCCCATAGCAGCTTCCTTTTCAACGGAGGGCTTAGCATCGCTCTCTCCATTTGGCGTCTCCCCCTGAACCGCCTCCTTCGGATCAGGAGTTCGTTGGTCCACCTCCATCTCTTGGGTTTCGGGAGGTGGTGGAGGAGTCTTCGAAGGAGGGTTAGCTGGTGGCGGAGGAACCCTGGGAGCCTCGCCCTCAGTTGGCTCCCGGATAGTGAGGCCAGGCATCAGCCTCACTTCAAAATTGTTCGACCCCATTACTGCCGGACCTCTTCTTCTCCTCCTTATCAAAGGCTAATCATCCATGTCTTCAGAGTCCGAAGTTTCAGACTCCGAGAGGTCTTTGGGGCGGGAAGGAGCTTTACCCTCTCTTCTCTTTCTGCTCTCTTCTTCAGATTGCAGAAAGTGGGGGGCAAGAAAGGTGTGAGTAAAAAAATGCTAAGCTCTGAAGAACTAACCAAGGTATTCAGCCGAGCCTCGTCTGTTGCTGCTTCCTCTTCGGAAGCTTGGGAGGTCCCTACACCTCCTTAAAGGAGCTCAGCAACTTTGACTACCTCTTTAGCAGTTCAGGCAGCCTGCTCTTCTTCTGGGGACAAGCGCCTCAGAGGGTCCCGCATAGCCCACTAGGGTTTCTGCTTCAGATAGTCTGCAGCAGGCTCAATCTGAAACATAGTTGAATGTAGATGTAACGGACGCTTCTTGGGGTCAATTATTGCAGGGGCGCGATCCAACGCAACCCTTTCAGCATTTACCCCCAACCAATCGTAGTCAACCCCAAAATTGCTCTCGTTCAACTTTGAAAAACAAAGACAAGTGAATCAGCTCAACGAAACAGATGCTAAAAAGCTCTGAAGTAATTGCAAAATAAAAAAGAAAAAGCAAGTCCTCTGCCCCAGCCTAAGGTGCTCACCGTCTCGGAACTTTCGGATGAGGCAGACAATAGCTTACATGTTCTCCTGGAACGCATAATAGGAGTCCGGAAGCCAGTTCTCCGGAATGTGTTTTAGTCGACTACTCCCTCCGGGATTATCCTTCTTCCTGAAGAGAAGCACTTGCTGATAGCTAGGATGGCTGGCAGCATCAGGATCTTCGGGGCTCAGGTCCTGCATATTTGGGTCGGGCTTAGAAAGATAGTTGGGAGCGCTGAAGAAGTAAGGGTGATCAGGATTCGAAGGTGCCATAACCCTGATCCATTGGCCTCTCCAGTCTTTGTCCGAAGAGTCGTTCGACCACATTGTTAAATACTGCGGATGACTCTCAATCCGCCACCAACCAGAGCCATGGTGACCATACCTGCTCTGGGTGTTCGACACAAGCTTGTGCAGCTTTTTGAAGCAGTACAGATTCGGTTCAAGGCCAAAGAACCGACACACCCAAAGATACGTCATCACCCTTCGGATGCTGACGGGTGTCAATTGGCACAAGGAGATCCTGTACTGTATCAGCAATTCCCTGACGAAGGTATTCATGGGAAAGCGGAGCCCGTACTGTAATTGCCGAGTGTACACCCCCACATATCCAGGGGTGGGCGATGAATCCTGTCTGTTGCAGTGGGAATTCGGCACAAGTACCCATCCTCCTCGAGAATGCCGTAGTACAGCTCAATCTGTTCGACAAAATGGACCCACTAAGAGTAGGGAGCATTCCTCATCATGGCTGAGATGGCCCCGGCGTTCTCCCATTCAGCAACCCGTTGGGGCAGGTCCCAGAGTACGGCAGCTTCTCCTTCCTCCTCCTGCCCGGAGGTGCTCGTTGGCTCCTCCCCACAAGGCGGTGCCGTAGAAATTGGCACCGCAGGGATTCCTCCCGGGACTGGCCAAGGGTTCCCCTCACCCTGAGTATTCCTGACTCGGTCCCTTGGATGGGTTTGCCCGGGCAATTGGCCTCCACGGGCTCTACCTCTAACCATGGTTGTGGGTCGCCGGAAAATGGAAGAGAAATCGCAAAAACAAAGGGTACTTCAAAAATTAAAGAAAATCAAGCCAAATTCGAAGAAAATTACCTTGAATTGAAGCGCAATTCACCGATCTACAGGATCGGAGCAACGAATTTCGGTTTTAAAGCCTTAATTTCGGGGTTTAAACAAAGTTTCTAATCGGATTCAAGAGGGTTTGCGCGAGTTAGAGTGTGAATTTGTGAAGAAGTGAGGATAGAGAGTGCGGAAATCCGGTTATAGTTCCAGAAATAGGAAGTCTGGGAGTCCGCGCCCTTAATTTCCCTTAAATACCTCACTAAGTAACCGTTAAACACACTCCCTCCAAATTCACTGCCCATTATCCGTCCAACTTCCTCCATTATCCATCCAAACAGCCGTTACTTTATTAATTGCGGTTTAAATTCAAATTTTTTGGATTAATTAAATCATTTACTTCCCTCTATTTTCTAATTAATTAAAACCCGACCCGTCATCCTTCCGAATCAGGTCTGGGGGGCAAGTTGTTTGGGTCCAATTTGTCTAATTGGGCCTAGTCCATAAATGATTCAATTCTAAGCCCAATGTCAAAGGTTCAACCCTCCAATCCATGCCAGGTCAAAGTCAAATCAAGGTCCAAGTCCATATGGTGAGCCCATTTGGCTTAGGCCCATTATTCCATTCAAGCAAAGGTATAAAAGCCATCAATTGTACCATTTATCATTCATTCATATATAGCCACAAGCATTATATTCTTGCATAGCTTTCTCTCTCTAAGCACCGTTTGACTTCGGCATCAGAGGGGCCTTCCTCGGCACAACCTCCGAGGCCAGTTTACGTGTGTTTGCTGTGCTGGAAACCCTTGACCCAGCATTACTTGGACCGAGACCAGTCTTCAACCACTTCAGAAGGACCTTCGACAAGGTCCCATTGTTTTTACCCGAAACAAGTAGTGTAAAATACGTAGTATTACATTGTGGTTTATAAGTAGTATTACACTATTACACTGTATTTTATAAAACTTAGAAATTTATTTAAATTTTAAAATTTAATTTCATATGAAGTTTAATTTTAATAAGATAATTATCAAAATGAATTAACATCTATCAATATTAGGATAAACAATGTACTTCATATTAATGTATGAATAATTTCAATAAGAATAGTATTTTGTGATACAAAAATGGAGTAGTAATGAGAACCAAGTGTACATTTATTAATATGTGAAGGACCATATATTAGTGTTTAAAAAGTTAAACGTTGACATTTAATACATTTGGTATAAATAAAAGGTAAATATTGAATCATCCTCCTATTATTGTACATTTAATACATCTGCGATCCTTTACACTTTCTCTAATTTTTTAAGTTGACACTGTTTGACTTTTACACTATTCACATACTACATTTTGACTCGCTTTTGTGATTTATATATACAATAAAATACAATCACATGAAATCTTTTTTGTCAATAAAAATGTTGGTAAAATCAAACCCTATAAAAAAAACTGAATAATTAAATGAAAATTTACAAATACAAATATAAACACATTATTAGAAGGTATATATAGTTCAATAATATGAGAATGAACAATTATCTAAATCTAAATAAACATATTTCAACATGAAAATGAACAAGTATTATAAGTCAATGAACATCTGTCAATACGAGAATGAATAAAGATTAAACGTAAAGAGAATAATATAATGACATGTAACAAATTTAAGTGAACGTATATTAATATGAAAATGTGAATGTAATAATACTTTAATAGCACAATTACTAGAATATATGATCTAATGAGTAACATGTGAATTGTTTTCAAAAGGACTTCCATGTCATTATGATTAAAATATTATTATATATACACCTTTGTTGTCAATAAGTATGTATCTTTTGCAATAATATAATTGTCTCTCCTACCAATAAAATGTCACAAAACACAAATTTCCTATGTATATAAACCTTGACAATAAATCATGAAAGTAAATTTGGACATTTTAATTACTTTTATAAATAAACATATTTATTAATAATGAACATATATGTATTATAAGAAAAATTATACGCAAATTCTACTAGTATATTCTACAATTTATTCATTAAATTTAATTATTGTATTATTTATGTTCATGTTATCTTTTCAAATTAAAATTTCAAAAAAATAAATCAACACAATCCCTTCCCGGGTGGTTTTTTGCACATCTCTTGCAAAAATAGGTTTCCTTGGGTTTGTCTCCATTCCCTCGGTTCCCATTTCCTCTTTCAAAATTACCCTTGTTTCCCCCTTTTCCATTGAAATTCCCACTCGGGTTTCCCTAAACCTTGGGTTTCTTCTCATTCCCATTGAAATTCCAACTAGGCTTCCTCTTTTTCGCAGAAAAGTTTTCCTCTAGCTCTTTCCCCTTGATCCCATAAAGGTGTGCTGCTCTCCCATAGACCTCATATAAGGTTTCAAAGGTCACTCCTCCTAATTTTCCTTGAAGGGTCAAAGTCAAAACTTGCTCAAACCTCTAGGCCTTAAGCGCTTTAGTTGGTACTACCTCAAGTGCATCAATGAACTTGCTATAATACTCGTTAATTGTCATGTTCCTCATCCTGAGGTTCGTAAACTCCATACACTTTTGTTTCCTCAAATTGGCAAGGTAAAACTTCTCTTTTAAAGCTTCCTTAAATTCAGCCCACCCAAAGTTAGGATTACTCAACAAGTCATCTTCCTTTAACTCCACTATAAATCGGCTTCCTCTCTAAGGTAATAAACAACATTATTGACTTTAATTCCTCGGGGCAATTAATAACATCAAAAAGTTTATCAATTTCTCTCACCCAATTCTCTAAGCTCGCTGGGTCTACTTTGCCAAGGTAAGTGGGTGGTTTGGCCGCATCTATTCTTTTAAAAACTTCCCCAAAAGCATCAAGGTCATTATGGGCTTTTCCCTGATTTGAGATAATACTGGGCTACCAGCTATGTTTTCAGTTAATTTGTTTAGTGTTTTGAGGATAGAGCTGACTTTGGAACTACTCCCTTTCTTAATTCGTTGCGTTCGAGACATGATCCTGAATAATGTGGTAATTAAGCATAATGAATTTACTTAGCTTGAACAACAAATCAATCATCCGTCGAATCAATAAAGACTCAAAGAGTTGATAACTCTACTGTTCACAAAATATCTTGAGTACAACACGTTCTTTAAATTAAATAGCAAGCCTAAAATCGCCATTGAAAAGCGACTACAAGTTATACCTCGAAATAAATCATCATAAGATTTTATCATAAATTTCATACAATTATAACACACAAAACACTTGCCATGTAATTCATGCAATAGAGTAATTTCCTTCCAA